CGCAGAGGGTTGCGCGCACAGCCGGCAAATCGCACTCTCGCCTGCTTTTCGCGCACTCGACATGCACGATCTCCGCAGAGCATTTCGCGCACAGCCGGCAAATCGCACTCTCGCCTGCATTTCGCGCACTCGACGCGCACGATCTCCGCAGAGGGTTGCGCGCACAGCCGGCAAATCGCACTCTCGCCTGCATTTCGCGCACTCGACACGCACGATCTCCGCAGAGGGTTGCGCGCGCCGCCGGCAAATCGCACTCTCGCCTGCATTTCGCGCACTCGACACGCACGATCTCCGCAGAGGGTTGCGCGCACAGCCGGCAAATCGCACTCTCGCCTGCATTTCGCGCACTCGACACGCACGATCTCCGCAGAGGGTTGCGCGCGGACCGGACAAATCGCACTCTCGCCTGCATTTCGCGCACTCGACACGCACGATCTCCGCAGAGGGTTGCGCGCGCAGCCGGCAAATCGCACTCTCGCCTGCATTTCGCGCACTCGACACGCACGATCTCCGCAGAGGGTTGCGCGCGGACCGGACAAATCGCACTCTCGCCTGCATTTCGCGCACTCCACACGCACGATCTCCGCAGAGGGTTGCACTTTCGGTTGACGCTGTTCGTCCCACACTCCGCCTTTAAGAGAGAATTTATAAAGTGGGGAAATGTTTTTTCATTAGGACATCTCCCGTGCTAGTTTTCCATAGTTTTCCATCTTTTCCATACTCACACTTACTTGCTTGCATACTCACACTTGCATACTTTGACCCTGGCATACTTCGCACTTGGATGCTTTCGCTCTTCCAGTGTGTGTGTGTGTGTCAGTGTGAGTGTCGAAGTGTAAGTGTGTCAGTGTGAGTGTCGAAGTGTAAGTGTCGAAGTGTCAGTGTTCAAAGGATTTTCCGGAAGAACCCTTCGCAATGCTTTCGGGAAAAAGCACTAACACAGAGACAGATATTGAGCAGGCTTAAGCAGGTAAAACAAAATCCCTCAATAGTGTCATTTACTTTCAAAGTCGGCCAAAATTAGTGCATTTAGTCACCGGTCGGGAACTACACCGCTTGGCCGAATGTTTTTTGTGCCGCAGTTTTGACCGTTCCGGTGGCAACTTTATCTTACATATTTAGGGCGTTTTAGGGCTGGGATGGGCTGGGCATTTTTGTACGTTTGCTTCAGGAAACTTACGTGTAGCGCAGCCACGCCATAGTCTGTAGTTGAAGCAACTGTGTGTATAGTGCAGGCAAGTTTTACACACGGCTCAAGGACTTCTTTTGGACATAGTTCCGGATATTGCTTGGCAGTCAACAGCTCGAGAGGCCGGCGCAGGTTCCACATGTTCCGTGTGAACAAAAGTCACTGACCTTGGAAACTTCAAATTGATCAACCCATGAGGTCACGGCCTTAAGCTGCCTGTGAAGCCAAGCGTCCTAGAAGATGAAGAGATACTTGGCAGGTCCGAATTGAGTCGCATGGTTTTCGGCAGCCCCTGTGTTCAAACGTCATGGGCCACGAAGGAGTTGATGCAGTGAGAAATTGCCCAGGTCGGCGACGAGAAAGCTGCGTTAAAGCCAGATAGGGCCAACTGACTTTGGTATGGTCTATGCATGGTAGATGTATGCTGGAGCTTGGGATGGAATGGTTTGGGCATGCCATTCCATCGAATAAGGCAGGCAAACAATTGTTGCTGTGTGGAATCCAAGTGCCGGAACAGTTTATATGCTTATGATACGATGTTTCGATTAAACTCATTGTATTTACTATAACAAATTATGAATAATGTATATTTTAACATGTACAGAGCTAAAGTATGTGTTCATGCAAAAACGGTTGAACATCCACTCAATCCCACCGTATTCCGTGGTGTCATCCCAAATGGGGGGCCGGAATGAGGCGGAGTCCATCCACAGCATGCCGTCACAAACGAGAGAAATACCTGTTTGAAGAGATGTACTGTGACCCAACCAATACTTGTTTGAACACGTTTTAGCACGACGTGCAGGCATATGGATACCTTTTTTCTTTCATTTTGGCTGGCTCACACGAACAAGCCACCGGGCAGCAACACGGTCACCACCCAGGAGAGAGCCGCCTCCTCCGTGGACGGGGAATGCTTTATCGAGAAGTGCTGACAGTGACGGAGAACAGCAATCCGAATATCATCCCCTTGAATCTCCTGTGAATGCTGCGTCTTGAGACGTGAATGCTGAGGCATTGTGGGTCATTCGGAGAGACCACTTAAAGTTGAGCATTTCACAGATGTGGGTCATTCTACCAACATGAAAGGTGTTCATGCCCACCATGTTCTTTATCAAATTCTATGTGCTTCGGAGTCCTTCCAGCATTCGTGGGAATTCCATAGATGACGTTTGACCGGATTAAATCCTCGGTCCAACGACCCGATGCTGATGTGAGCCATTGTGAGTTCTGTTTGATTCGGAGGGAAAGGTTTGCAAGTGCAGCCTTCAGAATGTTGTTGTTGTGCAGTACATGTTTGTATGTATATGTAGTTTACATGTTCGTTTTAAATATGTGTTTCAGTTTCTTAAGATCTTTTGTTATTCCTTTAATTTTGTGGCTTGCCATTGAATCGAAGCAACATCTAGCCAAAGGATCGTGCACTTCAGAGCTGATCCATGGTCAACCGTGTTGCAATCTTGCGGTCGCGCTCGGTTGCATAAAGATTGGAGAAGACATGAGCAAGCAAGGATCTTGGACAGAGCGATAGCCGAATCTCTACCAAACATATCCAAAAATAGTATCGCTGTCCATAATCATCCCTTTCTTGTACTATCGTTAAACAAGTTATCCTAAACTATATTCAGGGCAGAACTTGGAGATGTTTGCCGAGGTGTCGTGAACTTTCCTACGGTCCTATATCTTTATATAATAAGAACAAATCATCCTTTTGCTTGGGATTTCAGCCTATTCTTTGAATCTCAGTGCGACTGCGACCCGCATGACGTTGGCGTCAAAGTCGTAGTCCTCCAGATATTTTTTTCGGTCCGGCAATCCCGCGAGAACTGCACGGGATAGTTCAGCGCGTAATGTTTCTCACCGCGCAGAGACCAAGGCCGCACCCCATTGATTTTGCATCCCTGTGCGGCTCTGCAGAATTCAGCGCCGTACAGCGTCTCACTGCCGCTACAGTCACAAGCGGCTTCACGGCTACACGGCCGATCAGGGCTGCGCGCGAAGGCACTTGGAAACCGAACCATTCCCTAAGATACGACCTTCAACTGAGTAGCGGCAGAATGCCCTAAAATACCCAGGCCAAAACAAGCAGCCCCCTCCGTTGACGCAGGTGAACGTTTTGCAAGAATCGGTGAGTTTGCAGCAGATGACATGGCACATTCCCATGTCACAGATGACTGTGAACTTGATCATTCCCCAGCGCAGGTTAGTTCAGTCCCCTGCTTTCGGCGAAAGAGAATGTGTACATTCCCTGCAATGGTCCAAGCTGCTCAGAGTCAAAAGGGTCTACTTCCAAAAGTTTTCCCAGATCTTCTCAGTTTCATCAGGCGATGTCAGACACCACTTTTCACACGTGTTCTATGTATATAAATATATAGGTTTAGACAATACCATGTGCATTCATTAACACCCATAAAAGCAACCAAAACCGCCAGCTGTTTGCAGGGGTCGTTTGGGTTTGACACCCCAGGTAACAGTATATATGCAGACAGAACAATGCGCATCCAACTGGGCTAAACCTTCGGCTAAACACATAACAATAGGTCGAATATCGTTTGATCTCCTGATCGAAAAGGACATTTTGGAAGTTGACCCTGATGCACGAAAGACCAGCTGCGGATGATGAATTGACAAAAGAGCAGCAACACACGTGCCGTGCCAAGAAGACAGTTCTAGACTTAGACAGCAAACACTGATTCTTCATTTCCCAACCAAGCCGCTTCTTGATTCGTTGAAGACACGGTCTTCACCGGTGTTGGAAGCTGAAGAGTGAAGGGTCTCCCGGTGTTGGTCCGAAATCGGTTCCGTTGAACACATATATATCTTTCAGGGTACTTGAAGTTACTGGCATCCAGATTGTTATTGCTACTTTTTCGGAACAATGTAACCTCAAGTTGCTGGGATGTTTCAGTCGTTTCACTTGACTTGTAGGGGTGTGCAATCAGCATTTGGCACTGGATAAACTGGTGTTGCGGGACACAAATGGGACAAAGCCAGGCAATTGTTCATTGTTTTTTAGCGTGACATTCTTGGGCCGGGCAGCGCTAACTAAAATGTTTCGCTGGGATTGTTTATTGTTTAGTGTGGGTGAGGAAAGTATGTCTCCCATTGTGACAGCTCGACACAGCTGATTCATCAGCTTGTGCTCTCCTTTTTCCCAGCTCGCCAGCCCGGAAGTTGTGGCGGCCACTAGACCAAGATTGCTGGCAGAGTTTTGCACCCCATGAAAACCACTTGCAATCGGAAAAGAAACATCACTTTTTTGATCTTTTTTGACATTGGAAGGGCAATTGCAAACCATCATTTGTTGAAGTGACAGGGATGCAGCCTTGTTCACCACTCCGGCCGCCCTCCTGTCCGAATGAGGCTTGGAAGACGGGCGGGGTGCCGAAGAAGCGTGAGGACTGTGGAGTGATCGATGTAGGTGCGAGGTAGATGGAATCTTTGAAGACTCCTCGGACTTCAATGATGAGGGAGTGTTGCCAGATTGATTGCTCTCATCAGTAAAGGGAGTGTTGGAGCAACAGAATAGGTTTGGTGGGCTATTGAAAGGAGTAGTAGCAAGAAGCTACTAGTGCAAGAAGCTACTAGTAGTACAGTAATGCCCTTGTTACTAGTAGTATATAATGCCCTTGTTACTAGTAAGATCTAGTAGCGTCTTGCTAGTAGCAAGATGCTACTAGTAATCATTTATCACGAATACATGTTGCTTGGGCGGGTAGGTGACCTCTTAGGACCTACGTTCGGCACGTTCGGCAGGTCTTCGCCAGCCGTTTGCGGTAGCGTTTGACTCGCCCCAGGAGTCCCAGAAGGACCACGTGGCCCAGGTGGACCGTCTCGGACCGTTTCCGGCCTGTCAAAGAAACGTCAGATCATGTCATACTCATGCCGCATTGCCGCTTATGTTAAATAGCGTTTCTTTAAATTCGCACGGTCCAGGGCCTTCTTTGGAGCTGAGGGGCTTTCGAGCGCAACACCATGGCAGAAACTCACTCACCCTTTGTTGATGCTAGGGTACGAGCTGGTATGCGTAAGCTTGAGACATACACGACCCGTCAAAGCTTTTGCACAGGGGCTGAATCCATGTAGCATGCTTGACCGAAGTTTTTTTATAGAAGTTTCTCGAGTTGATTCTAGTGTCTTACTTGATTTGGTGATGCATTTTGAACCCTCTCCACCCATCCACGGCCAGTGTTCAATTATCATGAATTATCCACAACCAGTTCAATTTGTGTGAGTAGCTTGGGGAATCACCCCTCCCAAGTTTATATATTGAGGCAGCGACAATGGTTGAAATTCCTATATAATGTACAAGTTCATCGACTGTCCAACGGCCAGTGTTTCCAACAGACATACATGGCCATACTGACCTAATCGGGTTCACATGGCCGTGCTATGGCCGGTCTTGGATGGTCTTGGTAGGCCAACGAGGGCTCTCCTGCCATGGAAGAGGCCAATCTGGGAGAACTTGGCAGCTCCGGGAGAACCCCGCTGGGGCAGTTTTTGTCGACTGCACGATCGTGGTCCTCGGTTGGTTGAGGGCGGAATCGGACCCGGGCTGAGACTCACAGCGAAAACCCGAAGCCGAAAATACATGGTCACATGAGTCACATGAGTGCTTTTTTGTTGGTTCCTTGGTTTGGGTGGTCATCCCGGGCCCAGACGACGATCATAGACTCATAGAACATTAGGTTGGTGGTGACGATGTAGACCGGTTCTTCCATTGCAGTGTCTACATATTGTTAACTTCTATATCAACACTTCACGGGAGTTAACTTCTCCAACATGATAACTGATAACATGGGTATTCGGACCAAATTCAAGTTGTAACCAAAGCATCGTGAATGGGTTTCACTACAGCAGCCAACTGGCCGCCGCCCTGGGACCTGCATTTCGCTTCCGGCATCCTCGGCAGCCGCTCCATTGCTTCTGCAGGTGCAGTTGAAGGAGCTGTTCACGGCTGAGCAGGAGGCACAGCAGGTGGGCCTTGCGAACAACGGGCGTCGTGTTGTTGTGTGGTCGCTCGCCACTTGAGCCTGATTCACACGGTGTTCTGGGGGCTTTCTTGTAGCATGGGCTGATTACTGCTGGCAGCTCCAAGGCTGAGTGCATCTCTCAAGTGTCCCGGGAAAATTCCTCCAAACTTGGGTGACAAAACACACCTCGGCAGTGAAATTCGATAAAGTTTGAAGGCATCCGACCTCAACCACCTTGGGGTCTCCAGGTGGATCCTCAGGAAGGGAGAGACCTGAGCCTGAAGCCTAACCCTTCAAGAGTGAACCCAAACAGAGGTAGTTGGAGTGCTAGGCAGCCAATTTGTTCCTAAACATGGCGTTTTGTTCGCCCAGATCCGGTTCACGAGGTGAAGCGGCCCAAGGGGAGGCGCAACTCAAAGGCCAAAGCAGTGGGAAACCTCAGTGGCAAGACGACTGATTGTGTTCACTGCAGGGACTCTGGGTGACCCTTGGTGGTTGGGGAGACTTCCCAAGACATTTTGATGAATCTCCTAGGACCATTGGAAAGGGGCCTTTGAACACAAGAAACGCTCATGAGCGCAGGAAACAGGACAACAACCTCCCCAATCTAATTAGGCCTTTTCACCGTCCACCGTTTTTTGGTTCACTTCTTGGAGGATCCTTTGGCTTGGGAAAAGCAGGCATTCCATGTGGTGCGAACGCACACATGGATGAGGGATCGAAGAGGGGCGCGTGGCTAGGGCTTTGGCTGCCTTGGCCCATGGGGAACCCAAAGTGTAGAAATGAGATGAACATGACTGAAATGATGCATGTTAGAAACAGAAGACATATCGGAGTCCCTCGTCGACCCAAACATGAGTGAGCCACAATCAGTGATCCAGGATCACAGTGATCCGTGATCAACCTCTCCTTGCAACGTTTGGCTGTTTGAGGAAACCAAGCCAAGACGATCACGAGTGAAGCCCAATGAGGCCGAGCGAGAGCGGAGCTGTCAGAGTGTAGTTGTGATGCGAGGTGTTTCATGTGCTTAAACCCTGAGGCCGGGGGCTAAGGCATGCAAG